AGAGTGTCCGGATGGCGAGTGGCGACAGGAAGGTCACCATCCAGCTGGTGGAGGACGGGCCCGGGGCTGGAGCCAGGGGCCCACAGCTCTTTAAAGGCCAGAACTACGAAGCCATCCGAACAGCCTGCCTGAATTCTGGGATCCTGTTTCGTGACCCTTGCTTTTCTGCTGGTCCTGATGCCCTTGGCTATGACAAGCTGGGACCCGACTCAGAGAAGGCCAAAGGCGTGGAATGGAAGAGGCCCCATGTAAAGTGGGGCTGAGCTGGGACCTGGGTCTGAGGGAGGAGGACTGAGCCTGAACTTCTGGTTCTGAAGGAGGAGGGCTGGTCCTGCATTCCTGGGTCTGAGGGAGGAGGGCTGGGCCTGGACTGCTGGGTCTGAGGGAGGAAGACTGGGCCTGGACTGCTGGGTCTGAGGGAGGAGGGCTGGGCCTGGACTGCTGGGTCTGAGGGAGGAGGGCTGGGCCTGGACTGCTGGGTCTGAGGGAGGAGGGCTGGGCCTGGACTCCTGGTTCTGAGGGAGGGGGGCTGGGTGGATAACAGCAGGGTTAGCCATGAGGTTCAGAGGGGTCCAGGAAAGCCAAGCTCCTACCCACAGCCTTCCCAGTGTTGGGGGTGCTCATCACCTCGGATACTGGTGTCAGGAGGGACCCGGGCCTCTGACTTCTCCGTTGCTCCAAACTTCCCTTTCCTGGCTTCATGGGAGTCTCCCTCTTCCAGGAGTTTTGTGCTGAGCCCCAGTTCATCTGTGAAGACATGAGCAGAACTGATGTGTGCCAAGGAAGCTTGGGTGAGCCCCCAGACCCAGGACTCGGACAGCACCACAGCCCTGTCTTCCCCCAATCTTTCCCGGCCTTCTTGAGTTTGCTGGTCTCTTGGTCCCTCCTCACCTAATCTGAGCCTCCCTCCTCCCAGGAAACTGCTGGCTTCTTGCAGCTGCTGCCTCCCTCACCCTGTACCCCAGACTCCTGTACCGGGTGGTTCCCCCTGGACAAGGTTTCCAAGATGGCTATGCAGGGGTCTTCCATTTTCAGGTAGAGCTCAGCTCCTCTCTCCCTGCCTCAGTTTCCCCCATGATAACATGATGTTTCACAGTTACCCTTCTCCCCTGGGGCTGGGATTCCAGAACTGGGGGAGTGGTAGGCAGAATGGAAAGTCGGACTCGGGCAGGGTCTGGAAGCTGACCCCTCCTGCCCTTTTTTTTTTTTTTTTTCACTAGCTCTGGCAGTTTGGCCACTGGGTGGACGTGGTGGTAGATGACAGGCTGCCTGTGCGTGAGGGGAAGCTGATGTTCGTGCGCTCGGAACAAAGGAATGAATTCTGGGCTCCTCTGCTGGAAAAGGCCTATGCCAAGTAAGACTGCGCATCCCCCCAGCTCTAGCCCCAAGCCATGTGGAGTACTGACATCTGGGGTCCTCCAGACACCCAAACGAGAACCCTAAATCAAGTCCTAGCAGCCATGGCCCTCGTACCACAGCACTCTCCTAGACCAACTTTCAGTTTTGGGTATTTTCTTTTATATTTTATTGAGAAAGGGTCTCATACAGCCTAGTCTGCCCTGGGACTAGCTATGTAGTCAAAGAGAACTTTGACCTGATGCTCTTGCCTCTACCTCAGGAGTGCTGGGGGTCCAGGTGTACACCACACCAGTTTTATGTGGTGCTGGGGGTTGAACCCAGGGCTTCCTGCATGCTAGGAAGGCACTGTGCCAACTGAACTACATCCCCAGCCTTTATGCATTCACTTAAAGTCAGTGTCTCATGATGAACCCCGTGCTGGCCTCAAACTCATAACCTCCATGTTGGACTCTTGTGGACATGGATTACAGGCATGCACCACAACCCCTGGCTAAATTTAGGGAGGGTGTGTGTGTGTAGGAGATGGAACCCATGACCTTGTGCATGCTCAGTCATGCCCCCAGCCCCTCACTGGGGGATTCTAGGCAGGGGCTCTACTACTGAGCCACACCCCCAGCCCCTCACTGGGGGATTCTAGGCAGGGGCTCTACTACTGAGCTACACCCCCAGCCCCTCACTGGGGGATTGGAGGAAGGAGCTCTACCACTGAGGCATACTCTTAGCCTGTGAATCTTCAAATCTTAAAGACCTCCCTCTTTTTTTTTTTAAGATTTATTTATTGGGCCGGGCGGTGGTGGCGCACGCCTTTAATCCCAGCACTCGGGAGGCAGAGCCAGGCGGATCTCTGTGAGTTCGAGGCCAGCCTGGTCTCCAAAGCGAGTTCCAGGAAAGGCACAAAGCTACACAGAGAAACCCTGTCTCGAAAAACCAAAAAAAAAAAAAAAGATTTACTTATTGTGTATACAGTGTTCATCCAGAAGAGGGCACCAGATCCCATTACAGATGGTTGTGAGCCACCATGTGGTTGCTGGGAATTGAACTCATGACCTCTGGAAGAGCAGCCAGTGCTCTTAACCTCTGAGCCATCTCCCCAGGCCAAGACCTCCCTCTTTTGACATTTCCCACAAACATTCCTAGAGCCCCACTGATACCCATATTTCCTAAGGATCCTGAAATCACCCATCTATCAGGCTCTGGACTTGCCAAATCCTATTCCCTGAAGGGCCTTTAACCTCATCCCATCTCTCCTAGTCCATTGAGACATCCACAGCATGTCCTTTCCCATCTCAGGCTCTGGAAGTCCTGACAAGTCCCCATAGGCATCGTCTTCACAGCCTCCCAGAGCCTCAAAGATTCGTGAAAGTTTGAGAATTCTGGCACAGCTCATTCCACGGCTTCCAGTCACGTGGATCCTGGGGATCACAGGCCTAGCATTTGTCAGATCCCCTCATTTCATCTGTGAATGTTTCAGGGATTGAGTCAGGCATGCACTCATAATCACAGTACTGAATACACTGAGGCAGGAAAATTGCAAATTTGAGGTCAGACTGGAATGCACAGTAATACCATGTCTCAAAAAAAAAAAAAAATTAGTTGAGCATGGTAGAGAACATCTTTATATCCAGCACTCTGATAGCAGATGCACACAGATTTCTGTGAGTTTGGCCTAATCTGGTTTACAGAGTGAGTTCCTAGCCAGCCAAGGCTACATAGTGAGATTCTGTCTCAAAAGCAAGAGGGGTATGTTGTGTGTGTGTGGGGAGGGGGGAGGTGTGGTTCTGGAGGGATGGTTCAATGTCAAGAGCAGTAGCTGCTCTTCTGGGTGTGATTCCCAGTCACAGTTGTCTGTAACTTCAGTACCAGGGACCTAATGCCTCTGTGGACACTACACACATGTGGTGCACAGACATACGTGCAGGCAAAACACCCATACATATGAAAAACAAACTCATACATACATACATTATATATTATATAATCTGGGATATCTCCAGGGACCTCTCCACCCCAATAGAGTCCCCAGACCAGGGGCCCAAGACGCTCCTATGTAGCTCAGATCCACCTCCACCTACTCCAACAGGCTTCATGGCTCCTACGAGGTGATGCGTGGAGGCCACATGAACGAGGCTTTCGTGGACTTTACAGGAGGTGTGGGTGAAGTCCTCTACCTGAGACAAAACACTCCAGGTCTCTTTGCTGCCCTTCGCCATGCACTGGCCAAGGAGTCCCTTGTGGGTGCCACTGCCCTGGTGAGAGCTGAGCCCCCATATGGACCTCCACTAGGCCGGCATAGTCAGGGATGTCGGGGGAGGGGAGGGGAGGGGAGTATCACGTCTTTCTTACCTTCTGCTGCTGCCCCCAGACCCTCGCTGATAGACTCTAGGCCAGTGTTCTACAGATAAACTACATCCCTCCACCCGCGGTTTGTACATTTTGTCAGGAGGCAGGGTCTAAGTTACCCACATTGGCCTTGGACTTGGGATCATCTTGCCTCAGCTTTCTGTGTGGCTGGGATGACAGGCCTGTGTGGCAGGGTCCGGGCTTCTCCCCTTTCCTCTGTGTCACTCTCTCTGCTTCTCTCAGACACCCTCGCTGAGCCCAGGGCCCAGCTCCTGGGTTGGGAGGTTGGAGAGAGAAGCTGACCTGTCCCTACCCCAGCTTCACAATCTCATCCTCTTTCAGAGTGACCGGGGTGAGATCCGCACAGATGAAGGGCTGGTGAAGGGACATGCGTATTCTGTCACAGGTACGCACAAGGTGAGTCACACCCATTGCTGGGCTAGGCTGACAGGGGTGTCCCCTCACTACCCTCACTAATGCCCCCGCTGCCCTCACTAATGCCCCCCACTACCCTCACTAATGCCCCCCACACTACCCTCACTAATGCCCCCCACTACCCTGATGCCCCCCACACTACCCTCACTAATGCCCCCCACTACCCTGATGCCCCCCACACTACCCTCACTAATGCCCCCCACTACCCTGATTGATGCCCCCCCCCAACACGCTCATTGATGACATTGTCTTCAGATGTCCCTGGGCTTCACGAAGGTGCGGCTGCTGCGGCTGAGGAACCCTTGGGGCCGTGTGGAGTGGTCCGGGCCCTGGAGCGACAGGTGGGATGGGCTTAGGGTGGGTGGGGGCTCAGCCCCGCATGCCATCATCTCACATTGGTCTCTTCAGCTGTCCACGCTGGGACATGCTCCCCTCTGAGTGGCGAGATGCCCTGCTTGTGAGAAAGGAGGATGGTGAGTTCTGGTGAGTTCGTAGGGACCCACTGTGCCTGTGGGAGGGACACTGGGGTAGGGGCCTTTGACACAGGGCCAGAAAGGACGCAGAGAGACTCATGGGACGGACAGGTCGTGATGCAGAGAAATGGTCCCCATCCGCTGTGATTCTAGTCAGGGCAGAAGCAGTTGGAACAGGACTATTAAGGGCATTGTTTTCCGAGGAAGACCACTGAGATTAGGGGCCTTTCTTCTGCTCAGCCCCCACTAAAGAACCCTGGCTACACTTAGTTCCTCCCTACCACTTCCTGTCAGCTAGTTGCTGACTCAGCCTCCTGGCCCCAGATTAATTTTCCTTAATCAAATAAATGTAACATGTCTTTGAATCGTTAACAAAAGCAGGGGAAACAAATGTAACAACCTTTACACAGTTTAATGTCCCACAACACCAGGCTTCTGCAACAGCTTTCATTGGCTCGGCCATCTTCCTGGCCCTGCTTGAGGATTTTCTAAAGTTAATTTGAAGATATTCGAGAGGAGTTTGTAAATACGCTCAGAAGTGGGGCATCCGTGAGGACTTGGATGCCTTGGCGAGGCCTCAAGGCTTCAGAGTTTCTGGAGGTTGGAGGTTAACTGGCAGTACTTAAGGAACTGGGAGCTTTGTGGGGGGGACCACTTCTGGGGTCCCTCAAGTTGGGCTCTGGGGTGGCCGGGCATCTCTCACGCTCTGTGCTGTCCAGGATGGAGCTTCAGGACTTCCTCACGCACTTCAACACGGTCCAGATCTGTTCACTGAGCCCTGAGGTGCTGGGCCCCAGCCCCGCTGGCGGAGGCTGGCACATGCACACCTTCCAAGGCCGCTGGGTGAAAGGTTTCAACTCCGGCGGGAGCCAGCCCGGTGCTGGTGAGGCCTGGGGCCCCGAGACGGAAGCTGGGGTCGCGGCTAGGCAGGCTGGGAGGGAACTCCACCTCCTTCTCTTTTGCTAGAAACCTTCTGGACCAATCCCCAGTTCCGGCTGACGCTGCTGGAGCCTGATGAGGAAGAGGATGAAGATGACGAAGAGGGACCCTGGGGGGGTTGGGGAGCAGCAGGGGCGCGGGGCCCAGCGAGGGGAGGCCGCATCCCCAAGTGCACTGTCCTCCTGTCGCTCATCCAGCGCAACCGCCGGTGTCTGAGGGCCAAGGGCCTCACTTACCTCACTGTGGGCTTCCACGTGTTCCAGGTGAGGCCAAGATCAAGCTGAGGTCTGGCGAGGCAGAGGGTCGCAGGAGCGTCCTGAAGGGAAGGAGGGGACTGGGGGTTCAGAGAGGAGCGCCGTTGTTGGGAGAACTGGAGAAAAAGGCTGAGGGTCAGGGGGCGGGAGGTGACCAAAGGGACTGGGACGGGATGAGGGCACAGGCGGGAAGGAAAGGGTCTGAGAATAGGGTGGGGAAATATTAAGGGTCCAGAAAGAAGGAGGGGGTGGGAGGGGTCGGGGGCAGGGAGGGGGTCTGCACCTTGCGCCCCCCTCCCCCTTACTGGCTTTTTCTTTCTGCAGATTCCCGAGGAGGTAGGTTTCAGAGGTGACCTTAGACCCACCCTAGGGCTTGGTCGACCAGCGCTGGAAGGCGGGGAACACGGGAGGGCCTGGCTAGACAGTCTGGGTGTGCGTGGGGAGGACCAGAGGGTTGGGTGGGGAGCTCGGGTGGGAGGTGGTCATGGCGCCCCGCCCGCAGCTGCTGGGCCTCTGGGACTCCCCGCGCAGCCGCGCGCTCTTGCCGGGACTGCTGCGCGCCGACCGCTCGGTGTTCTGCGCCCGCCGCGACGTGAGCCGCCGCTGCCGCCTGCCGCCCGGCCACTACCTGGTGGTCCCCAGCGCCTCCCGCGTGGGCGACGAAGCCGACTTCACACTGCGCATCTTTTCGGAACGCAGCCACACCGCAGTGTGAGCCGGCGGCCCCCTCCCTGCCCCAGCCTCACCTGGGGCACCCCGACCCCGGCCCAGGGACCTCAATCTAGAATCCTCGGCCCCGCCCCTAGCACCAAGTCCCGCTCAGGGACCGCAAAGCCCCGCCCTTGCATCCCCAGCCACGCCCTCCCAGGGATCTCTGTCACCCACCCGCACTCCCGACAAAACCCACTGCCCTTTGGCTCCTCCCATGTCCTCTGCTGAGACCCCCGCCTGAACGCAACCCCCAACCCCCGTAATTTGCAGGGAGATCGACGACGTGATCAGCGCCGACCTGGACGCCCTCCAGGTGCGGGACTGTTGTGGGCGGAGACAGGAGGCAGCGGGCGGGGCTTTGGGAAGGGACTGAACTCCCCCTCCCCACAGGTTCCCTACAAGCCCCTGGAGCTGGAGCTGGCACAGCTGTTTTTGGAGCTGGCTGGAGAGGTGAGGAGGGGTCGGGGACTGGGGGTGTCCGGCCAAATGATGTTGAGCTCCCCTTTCTCGCTTAAAAACAAAACAAAACTGTAGAGCGGGGTAACCTGGGACAACTCTACTTCCTGTAGGCCAAGCTGGCCTCCTTCAGGTTGTCCAATGCTGCGGTTACAGGCTTGAGCCACCATGCTGGGGTTGAGGTGTCTGTGCTTCCCTTCTATGATGCTTTCCTGTGTTCTGGGAATGCTCAAAGATCCCCCTTGCCTCAGGGCTTTGCTCCATCCGCAGCTGCTTTCTCGGGAGGTTCACATCCCATCACTCTTTCCCAAGTGTCTTCCTCCGTCTGCTCACTGTGGGCTCCCACAGCCAGTGTGTGGAGCCCTAACCATCGCTGCCCTGACCACCCTGGGGATAGACCAGCCTCCTCTAGCGGAACCCTAGGAAGGTAGCCACGGCTACCTCAGCACTCTGGAGCACAGGACCTGGCCCCAAGTGTTTGTTAACTAGATGATCGAACCAGTGGCCTCACAAGTAGCTCTCTCCTGATTAGGAAGAGGAGCTGGATGCACTTCAGCTGCAGACCTTAATAGGCATCGCTCTGGAGCCTGGTGAGTTTGGCCAGGGGAGGGAGGGGGTCCCTGCAACTGGACCACTACACCCACAGAGCCTCTATGCATGATGCAAGGAGCAGCTGGGCTCAACTTGAAGCAGCTTGCTGTGGTCCCATGGTCACATGAGGGCCATGATCACTCACAGACCACCCCCTTCCTCTAAGAGGTACCATGTGCAAAGACGAGTTGGTTTCGTCAGGTGTGAACTCTGCATCTGTTTCTATCAAATGTCGGCTGCAGAGAGGTAGTCCACATAGCTCCTGCAATGTTGGCCCACATGCAAGGGGTGCTGCATTTCTTTTTTGTAGCTAGGGCCAACACCAGGACTCCTGGAGAGATTGGACTGAGGACCTGTGAGCAGCTTGTGCAGTGTTTTGGGGTACGTGAGACAGTGTATGGGGAGGAGGGGCAGGAGTGCTGGGGTTCCCCCTTGTCTTTCAGGGGACATTGATTGTAACCAGATGTCCTTGTCTGCAGCACGGGGGAAGGTTGGCCCTATACCACTTCCAGGAACTCTGGGGCCATCTCCTGATATGGCAGGTAAGGTGAGCATTGGGAGCAGCTACTTCCTTCTATAGCAGTGGTTCTCAACAATACTGCGACTCTTTAATATAGTTCATGTTGTGGTGACCCCCAAACATAAAATTATTTTTGTTGCTACTGTTATGAATTGTAATGTAAATATCTGATATGCAGGGTATCTGATATGCCCGTAAAAGGGTCATCTGACACCCCAAGGGGTCTCAAGCCACAGTTGAGAACCACTGCTCTAGACACTAAAGTCCTGCGGACCACCAACGGGGCACTGGACCTCCCATGCCAACTTGGGAGTGAAATGGATATAAAGTTCTTGTCACCCCACTGTGGCCCCCTGGGAGCAGTAAATAGAATGATCTAGAGCTACCACTGGTTCCTGTTGGAATCCCAGTTCCCATCTCAGTTCTTTCCTTGCCTCGTGACTACAGGCATGTCAACTCCTCTCCAAGGAGCCTTTGCCTAACTACCAGTGGGTACTCCTTCAAGGGAGGAGGAGGCAGTAGCTGCAGGTTCCTGGGACTGATCACAAAGATAAGCCCCAGCTATTAAGCCCTCCCCTAAGCCTCCGTGGGTAGGTGGACTTGAGCTTGTTCACTTGTCACAGATATACAGGTGAACAGTGGTCCCCAGCCAGGAGCCAGGGGAGCTGGGGCCCGAGCCCAACCCCTCTGGCCTCAGACGCCTTCTCTTAGGTACTTCACAGTGCAGCATCAATGCTCAGGGACATGAGTGTAATACGACTCCCTCCCACCCGCCTCTTCACCCTCCAGGCCACATTTGACAAGTTTGACGAAGATGCCTCCGGAACAATGAACTCCTATGAGCTAAGGCTGGCACTGAATGCCGCAGGTGTGGATGGGAACCTGGGACGGTTGTCAGCACAGCACCCACTCCTCCTCTTGGAACACCTCAAAGTCTTATCCACACCCAGCTGGGACTGTTCACAAGGCCCAGCACTAGCTTCCTTCTGTGGTGGTTCTGGGCACAAAACTTCTCTTTGAGTGTCTGCTAACTGTGACATGGCTAATGTGTGGTGGGGTGGCAAGGAGCCTGTGGAATGCCACTGGACACGGCACAAGAACACATTTATTCTCCAAAGCTACAGAACATCCCAAAGACATCCCAAAGCATCTTTTGAGGCTACCTCATTACAGCAGAGGATGGAAATCCCATGTTAGGGTACTTCAGTGGGATTACTGAGATTCTAGAAGATGGGCTGGGTCCATGCTTCCAACTGTGACCACCAAGGAGAAGGAGCCAAGGAGATTTAGGGGGTAGAACAATTGACCAGTGGTGAGACATATTACAAGTATGAGATCTGGAGAAAGTGGCCAAGTGTCCAGGAACACGTAAGACATGATCCCGGGACATCAGAGTAGAAGTCTGGGGGCCAGGGTGTTGAACCCAAAGAAGTAGGACACAGGACAGAGGGGGAGAGTCCACTGGATCATCCACCTGCCCACTTTCTCCATGTCCTGTGCCACTTGCCCCAAGTGCCTGGCACATACCAGAGGTTGTTCTGGACAGAAGGAACCTCATAATGTCTTCTGGGAATACTCAGCAATTCTAACAGGTTGGCCGAGGGCTCCCGAGTCCTTCTACCCCCATCTAGCCAGGTTCTCCAGCTCTGGGCCAGCATACCCCAATATCTGGGTACATGAACATCAGAGGGAGTGACCTGCCTCAGGCCACCTAGCTGTGTGGGGTGGTCCCTGGAGTTTGTTGAGTGGGCACTCAAAGGTGCGGTGCAAACTTGTGCAGTTATCTCCGGGACTGTATGGGGCACATGGAAGCTGGGAGGGACAAGTCCTCAGGCCCTGAGGCATCCTGAAACCTCACTGTAATTCGACAGCAGAGGTGACAGAGCCCATGGCTAGACTTTAGGTGTGGCTTCAGAAGAGGACTACACAGCAGTGTTCTCCAGTCAACCTCTGAAATGGCAACCACAAAGCTAGACGCACCTGTGGGCCCTTTGAGAGGCAGAGGCAAGATGGCAAGTTACAGCCCAAGCAACTTAGTGTCTCACAAAATATGCAAAAGGCTGGGGGATGTGGCTCAGTGGGAGAGCTCCTGCCTAGACTCTACCCATGAGGGGCTGGGGGCATAGTGCAGGGGAGAGCTTGCTTAGCATGTTCAAGGCCCAGACTGCAGGTGCAGAGTGCTCACCTCGCATGCAAGTTCTATCCCAAGTGTCACATAAACCACAGGCTTGAAATCCCAGCACCTGGAAGGTAGGGCCGGCCTCTCTCAAACAGAACACAACACAGGGCTAGGAATATGACTTCGTTAAAGTACTTGCACACTCAAGTGTGAGGACCAGAGTTCAGATCCCCAGCACCCATGGGGAGGTCTGGTAGACATTGTGGCCCACCTAAATTCTCAGCACTTTGGGAGGAGGAGACAAGTGACCCCCAAAGGAAGCTGGCTAGCTAAAACAAAATGGTTTGAATTCTGCATTTAAGTGAGACTTTGCCTCACACAGCGGAGCGGGATTGAGGAACAGTTAGTCTTTGGCTTCCATATGCACACACCCTACATACACCCACCCCCCAAATGTAAACAAAAGGCAACACCACAAACACCGCAGCCTCCTCCTAGGCTTCCACCTGAACAATCAGCTGACCCAGGCCCTCACTAGCCGCTACCGGGACAGCCGACTCCGAGTGGACTTTGAACGCTTTGTGTCCTGCGCAGCCCGGCTCACCTGCATCTTCCGTGAGTGTTACTCCTGGCCGGGTGGGGTGTGGTGGGGTGTACCTCGGGGCTAGCGCTGGGCACTCAGCCTGCCCTCTCATACACAGGCCACTGCAGCCAACACCTGGATGGTGGTGAGGGGGTCGTCTGCCTGACCCACAAACAGGTGAGCTAGCACGAGGGGACAGGGTGGTTCTAGCACCATCCCGAGGCCGCTGCTTCAAGGTCTTCTCTTCCTTCTCTTCAGTGGTCGGAGGTGGCTACCTTCTCCTAGGGCAGAAGCTGAGGGAGGTCACCCTGCTCCAGGCCCAAGGTGCCCTGCTTGGCACCAGTGGTGGAAGCTGAATATGGATGAGCACCTGCCTGGGGCTGGGGCCCAACCTACCATTGCACAGGTGGTGGTGTGGCAGTCTGTCTTCTGGCTAGGTAGCTCTGGCTGGCCTCTCAAGCCCTGGGATTAGAGTGAGCTACCGTGAACAGAACTGCCTTCTT